GACAGCAGACGGCCGCACACTTTCCGCTGCAGGCACGGGGAGGTGATGCACAAAAGTCACGCGCACACTGCGCACGGAGCAGCGGGCAAGCGTGACAGGGGTGTGCAATTGTCCACAAATGTGCTGTTTAGCGACGTTGCATTTTGCCTCAAAATGCCACATTTAGGCACACTCTGGCACATTTGCCTTCTTTTTTTTCCTGTGACATTTTTTGCAGCGTGCAGCGGCGTAGAGTTGCACGTGGCATGCCTGTTAAGCGACGCCCCTGGCAGGTCTTGCCCAGCTTGAAGAAGAGCCTGGTCCCTTCCTGGGACCTGTCGGAGACAGATGCGTTGGAGAACTCGGTCAAGATGCAGCAAGCCATGACCGAGGCCCCAGCAACGGCCATCTCCAAGAGCCGGCAAGACAAGCAGGGCACAGCAAAGGCCACCGTCAACCTCATCAAGGGCTTGGACCACAGCCTGCAAGTAGCAGGGCTGTCCTTGCAGCACTTTCAGAGCGATGAGCAGGCAGCTCACAGCATGCTGCTGCGTGGAGGTGAAATGAGGTACATGGTGAACTGTGCAGAGGCATGGGGAGACTTTGCCATTCCAGTGGATGCTCCGTGGAAGAGGAGTGCTGTCAAGAACGTCGTCACGGGGGAGAAGCGTTTCGAAGTGCCAAGTGCGTGGAGTGAGAACACGCCCAAACTTCTCGTGCTCAGTGGAGACGAGGCCTCCACCAACCTGGCGGCCTTCCACTGGCTGTCTTGTGGCGCTCATGTGCGGTGCGTTTTTTTCAGGGACACAGCGCACCGCACATGGAACGACTGCAAGCTTGCCTTGCAGGAGACCCACTTGTGGGGGACGGTGTTGGAGACTCTGCAAGTGATGCAGACAAAGCATGGTCCTTGGAAGTCTGGGGCTTGGTACAGACAACTCCAAGAGGCGGCAGAGACGCACATGAAGGCTGCGACCGCAGGAGACCCTTTGTTCATGCATCTCTACGAGCATTTGGCAGAAGATTTCCGACAGCAGCTGAAGGAACCTGCAGGGAGTTCAGCACAGGTGGCCGAAGTCTGGGACTTGCTTCTTGCCTCAAAAAACCTCATGGCGAAAGGGAGCCGTGTGTCCATGACTCGCTGGTTTGAATGGTGTGCGCAGTTTCAGCTCTTAGACCAAGAGTACCATGCTCATCAGTTCTACTATGTGCTGCTCGGCCTGCACAGCGGGCTGTGGAAAAGCGTGTCTGGGGCACCTGTGTACGATGTCGTCGTCAGCAGCCACAAGCTGAAGAGGCAAAAGAAGACTTCGCAGAAACCCGTGCCTGATGCTAGCATGCAAGAGGCAAAGCAGCAAGCTGAAACCGCTGATGCGATTCGCTGTCGCAACTCTGTGGAGCTTGCGTGCTACCTGCTCGGACAGCCCAGCATGAAACGCCTCTCTCGCATGATTTTCCTGTGCCTCAAACCCTTCTGGTCTAGCTTTGGAAAGGAGTTGAAGCATGTGACCCAGAGGGAGGGCTGCTTCAGAATGCAGCTTTCTTTCTTCCTTCACCAATACAGTTTGCAGCAGTGCAACGTCTGGCGCGTGCTAGCAAATGTGGAGGCCTTGAAGCATATGGGCTTCGCTTTGCACACGAGCAGCATGAAGCACTATGCCGAGAAGATGTCGCAGGCTGCAGGTGCGGCCAGCAGTTCTTCGGCTCAGTCTTTGCAGGCCTTTCATTTCGAAGCGTTGCCCGAAGATGCGTTTCACGAGTTCCAGGCACAGAAGCTCTGGCAGTTGGTTTGTGGACTCTGCAGACACCGCTCCATGTCCATGGCTCAGTGGCGTTGCGTGCCGCCCTACCAGTTCATTGGGCTACTGGCCAGCGGGGCGGCGAATGTGAAAGAAGCGATGGACATGCAGAAGGACAACTGGCTCACTTTGACAACTTGCGAGAAGGCCCAGTTCACCAACCCGGAACTGCAAGCGATATTGTGTGATCTGCCTTGGCTTCACAACCCAGTTTCCAGAGAGGTTTTAACCATGCTGGCTCAACATGATTTTGCTTGCATTCCTGCTCCTGCAAAGAGTTTGCTTGTGGCCATGTTCAAAGGGCCCAACCATTCGGTGTCCGTGGAGAACATGTTTCAGCATTTGCAGGATTTCAGTCGGGATGCTCAGAATGGAATGCAGAGCCGTCCCAAGCGAATGCACCACTGCATCCAATCCAGTCTTCTCTCCGAGTTTGACTTGCCCGAGGTTCCAGCTTTCGCTGCACAAGCAGAGCATGATGCACGTAGGCTGCACAAGTCCACATGGGACGGCGTGGCTGGGAGCTGTAGCTTCAGCGAAGAGCTGCTGAAGGAGTTGCAGTCCAAGGCCGGCAAAGCCTTCCCCTCACCAAGCGCGCAATCCATCCAGCAGCAGACTGGGAGCTGGGTCTTGCTGGTGGAGTGCTGCAAGCAGCAGTGCCTCGACAAGATCCCGGAAGCCTGGCACGCCCTTCTGATGCCACAGGACCACATCGCAGTGCACAAGCCAAGCTCCGAGTTCTTCGTGGTGCTCAAAAGCACCAAGCACGCTGTGTTGCTTTGGCCTGTCGACAACAAGCGTGCTTGTGGAGTGGAGACTTTTCAGCCTCGAACTACTCAAGGAACCAGGGCGATATGGAGAGCCATCCTCGTGCCGGGTGACTGGACGATTGTGCCGACAGTGGCCTTGCCGCCGCATGTCATGCGTGCTTGCTTTCAACATGAACTGGGCCATCTCGGCATTGTGATGGCCCAGTCGGATCCTGAGCAAACTCTTTGGCAGGCAGCAGCACGTTCTGGCTTTGCTGGTGTCACGGCTGAGTACTTGAAGAAGATGATGGCCGAGTTGAAAATTTGTGAGGGTATGCCAAACAAAGACCATCCAAAGACAGTGCTCGCCATCGTGGAAGCCCTCATCAAAAGTGTGCTGCCCGACATCAGCGACGAAGAGTTGGGCCGAATCGTCTTGGAGCGGGCCGGGTTGAGGAAGGCAGCTTCGACCAGTTTGCTTGTGCAGGGCGAGAATGCTGAGCTCACAGCGCCTGCACTAGAGAGCAATGATGCAGAAGAAATCAGCAAATACAAAAAGGAACAGTGTGCAAACACCACCTTGAAGTCTGGCACTCTGCACTGGCTCAAAACGAAGAAGTACATCAACGATGACGAATTCAAGAGTCACATGTCCCGACTGGGGCTCCGCAGCTCTGTCGAGGAGCCGCCGGCCAAAAAACAGCGTACTGTACCCAGCAAAGGCCCATGGAGCTGGCAGGAAAAGGCGCTCAAAGAGCGCGTCCCTGCAGGCTCCACAATCCAGGAAGTCATTAATGCACATACCACGTGCTGGACAGGCCGCTATCCGAATGCAGGTCCCGGTCAGCAGAAGAGCTGCACTCGCAGCTACGGCAACCATCTGCGAAGCAGCAATCAAGCAGCGCATCTTGTTTTCCAGTGGCTCTGGCGAACTCACCAGGCTAACGGAGGGGAGGCCTGCCCGTACACCTATCCTGAAGAAAGCTGCCGTTGAGGTGTCCTTGAGATTACTATTGCAGTTCAGCCTTGCTTAATTTCGCAGTTGTGGTCCTCTCGGTTGAAGCTAGACATGTGTAAGAGTGTGGCTTCGCTGGCTTTGCTTCAGGAAGTTTTGATGAGGCCGTAAACTCCGTCGGCTTGCCGCAGGAGAGCCGCGAGCCTGCCCCACCTCTAGAGAAACAACCTTCACAAGCGAGCTTCCCCAATAGTAGGCCCCTAAACCCTTGTCTCCTACTGTTTCTTTTCAATTTCAACCCCACGGGCCCTAACCTTTAAGAAGATGTGTTTTTGTGGACCTGGTAGCTAAAGCAGCCCTCAGTCAAAAGTCCGTCGTTGATGTAGCAGACTTCAAGCCCTGCGAATGTGAGAAGCCGGCTTGTGTGCAAAGGAGCTTGCCTCTGCGCGACTGCCAAAAAAGAAAGTCGGGACTGCAACACTTCAGACAGTCACTCGAAGTAGTTCATGCTGTCGGGCTTGGGAAGATGTGCACTCCTTCATTACGAGGGAATGCCGTACTGACAAAGCCTGAAGCCCATGTAAGACTTTAAGGTCATTGTCTTGACTGCGGAATAATCGCTGACTCCTTGTGGTCAGAGCTGGGCATGGCGATAGACGGCCTAGCTTCATCGCTCGTCGAAGGTTGGCTTTCGCCACGATAGCGTCCATTAGATGCCAGGGGGGTACCAATGACCCTAAGCCCCCTTTTCTAAGGCCCCATTTGCGACACACCAAGAGACTCCAGACCCCAAACAGGCCGTAGTAAGCCCCCCAAATTTCATAATCACTTCCCTCGAAGCTACAAAAACCCGTCCCCTCTCCCCCGCTCCTTCCCAAATTCTCAACTTCGGGTTGTAGCTATTCTTGTTTAGTGTTTTCCTATGGCTAGCTCTACTCGCCGAATCCCTTAGCTACACCACCCTACCCCACTTCATGTGCTTGTTTAAGCTTGATGGGATTGATGGGGGGCTTCTTTGTGAGGGATAGGGCGTGTTTATGGCTTAGGCTTAGGGTGTAAGGTGTGGCTATACTCCTGTGGTCATGCTGACTGGGCATTTAGGGTTTAGGGTTTAGGGTTTAGGGTTTAGGATTTAGGGTTTAGGGTTTAGGGTCGTGCATGCCTTGTGTTCTGCTCGCGCTGAGGTTGAACCCGCCGATTCTGGGTGTGGCGCAGCACCAGGAGCCGACCGTCTCTACTGCGCGGGCGAAGGTTTAGGGTTTAAGGTTTAGGGTTTAGGGTTTAGAGTTTAGGGCACTGAGTGCGGTTGATAGCTTCAGGGAGTGTACGGGCTTTAAGATTTTCTGTACGGTTTTGAGGGTTACAACGAGGTGAGGGCCCCCGAAGATGCCCAACCCCCCCGGCCCCCATCATTGTATAGGGTAGACTCCGGGTAGACAGGGATTACAGGGTTTAGGGTTACCATCGAAACCCCCCTCAACCCTATAAATTCTCGGCCGCCCATATTTCCAGGACGCCATGCAAAAGCTGCCTACGCACCTCCGCCGCGTGACGATCACCCTCCAGCAGGCAGCCGGATCCGGCTTAGGATACAGTTCCGGGGCCTTCCACAGCGCAGAGGGTTTAGGGTTTAGGGTTTAGGGTTTAGGGTTTGCAGGCTTCAGGGCTTTTTTAAGTACAAAGCTTAGGGCTTCAGAGTTGTTAGAGGGCTTCGATTTGTGGAATGTATGGGGTCGAGGGCACCTTTAGGGGTAGAGTCCGTGAAGCTTAAACGACCTTAGTTCGATAGGGGATGCCCGGAATCCGAAACCTCAACTTGACCCCAAATCCCGAATGAAACACCTGGATCCCTCGAAGGGTAAGGGGCCATGCGAAGGGAGTACTAAGGGCACATGGTTTCCGACCTTAGACTTATAGGTGTTAGGGTCACAGAGGGCCTTACAAACATATCTTGAAGGGGACCCTGAAACTTATTTCCCTTTAGACCCCCTCCATATACCTCATATGGTCCCTATATACCTCAGTAGCCCCTACAATGCCCCTCAGGTCCCCTGTCATCACAGTCCTGTCATCATCCTCGGGATATGGCTTCTGATAACCCGTCCGCTTGCTTTCCAAGGCTCGGCCTGTCGTTGGCCCACCCCCACGCCCTTGACCCCTAACCCCTCACCCCTGACCCCTAAACCCTAAACCCTAAACCCCAAACCCTAAACCCTAAACCCTACCCCCTAAGCCCTGAACCCTAAACCCGGCCCCAGCGGTGTGTCCTCCGAGGCATGCGAGGAGAAGGAGGACAACTCCCAGCGCATGAAGTGGGGAGGGGGCGTCTTTCGAAATGAGGGCGTGGGGTTTAGGGTTTAGGGTTAAGGGTTTAGGGCTTAGGGCTTAAGGCTTAGGGTATAGTCATATTGGGGTGGGGGGGGGGGTTCCTATAATAAGGATTATAGAATTTTGGGGGATGGTATGTTCGGGGGCCCTATTTTGGGGGACGTGCCCATAAAGCTGCCTTTTTGCCTACACGATGAAACGCACCATCAACAAACAGGACCGAAAAGAGTATCCCCAAGCGCAAAAACCTGAACACTGCAGTCGATTCCACAGCTCGTTTTCGTCCCCTTAGGACATTTTGATATTTTCCCTTATTGGGTTTAAGAGGATCATATTCAGGAGCATTTTTCAGATTTGTTCAGTGGGTTTAAGCGTCATCCCATATAGTCCTATATACCCGAAGAGTCCGGCACCCAATCGCCCACGTACTCCTCTAGGATGCACGCTGGCGCCCGCGGGCCCCTTTTGACTTCTACGAGGGTTTAAAGGGTTTCGGGTTTGGGGTTTAGGGTAGGGTTAGGGTTTAGGGCTTGGGGTTTAGGGGTTTCCCTTAACTACTCACCCGTTAGGCCCTTGCTACTCTTAGGTCGCTGGTTGCTGGGAAGGCATTTAAAATCAAGTGCTGAACCCGACTTTCCACAGACCCCCAAACCCAAATTTCTTTGAACTCGGCACCTCTACGAAGCCTTGCAAGGGTTTAGGGTTTAGGGTTTAGGCTGGTTTAGGGTTTAGGGTTTAGGGTTTAGGGTTTAGGGTTTGGGTTTAGGGTTTAGGGCTTAGGGTTTAGGGCAGGCCCTACGTACTTTTTTGCGGAGGGTTGTGGGATGTGGGGGTTCGGAGTTTTTGGGGGCTTAGTGTTTCGGGCCTAGCAGCCCAGAGCGCAGTCACTTCTCTCTGACACAAGTTTAGGGTTCAGGGTTTGGGGTTTTAGGGTCCCAGGGTTCAGGGATTAGGGTTTATACGGTTTAGGAATTGTTTTTGGGGTTTGGGGTTTAAATAGGCACAACCCATTATTTACTTTTCATACTTAATCCATGAGAGGAAGTTAAACACATTCATAAACAAATATGTAGTATACCTATATGCGAGCAGAAGTTTCGTTATTGGTTGCTATGTCTCTTGTGTTTTCATACTTTGTGTTCGTGAGTTATTTCGAACAGTCACTTTTCTTAATCGGGGCTGGAGAGTTTTAGCAGAAAGGGTGGGGTCTCCAGTAACCTCTCGCCCAAAACCCCTAAACCTCTCAACTCCTGACCCTAAACCCATCAACCCCTAACCCCTAAACCCTAAGCCCTAAACCCTAAGCCCTAAACCCCAAACCCTAAACCCTAAACCCTAAACCCTAAACCCTCCCCCGCCTTTTGCGAGGAGAAGCGTGCAGAGGCTGAGCGTCTGGCTCAGGCACGCTTCTCCACATGCAGCTAGGGCTACCAACGGGCCCCTGCATCGCTTTTCGCTTAGGGTTTAGGGTTTAGGGTTCAGGGTTTAGGGTTTAGGGTTTTAGCCCTTGTTAAACCAAAAAGGGCACCCTTTCACTTGGGTCGCCCTAAACCCTAAACCCTAAACCCTAAACCTTAAACCCTAAACCCCAAACCCTAAACCCCAAACCCTAAACCCTAAACACTAAACACTAAACCCTAAACCCTATACCCTAAACCCTAAACCCACCCTAAATCCTCAACCCTGAACCCTAAACCCTCAACCCTAAACGGGTCTAGCTGCCCTCTTGTCAGGTCCAACTCTCACCCATGGGCTCGCCGATTTCCTCGCCCAAGGGCGACAAGACCCCGCACCTTGAAGACGTAAGAAAGGTTTAGGGTTTAGGGCTTAGGGCTTAGGGCTCAGGGCTTAGGGCTCAGGGCTCAGGGCTCAGGGCTTAGGGCTTAGGGCTTAGGGATTAGGGCTTAGGGCTTAGGGCTTAGGGTTTCGGAATTTTGGTTTAGGATTTAGGGCTTAGGGTCTAGGGAAGGTTCTTTGGGGTTTGCAGTTCTAGGATTTGGGGTTCTGGAGTTTGAGGGTTTTGTTTGGCGTTTGGGTGCAATTCTTCTTTTTGCAGGGTTTTGGGATTCAGGGTTCAGGGCTTCAGCGTTTCTGTTTTTAGATTCTTGCTTTATGGTTTGATAGCTATATTGCTTAGGGTTCGGAATTTCGGGTGATGGGGGGGTCTCAGTCCCCAAGACCTGCACGAACCCCATTGCTGTTTTCTGGAGCAGTTTACGGTTTGGGGTTTAGGGTTTCGGGGTTTAGGGTGGTTTTGATTTAGGGGTTTAAGGGTTTAGGGTTTAGGGTCATCGCTGTGCTACGGGGCGCACTTCGAACGCAGCGCTCACTTGGGAAAGAGCCTGCCTTGCACGGCAAGAGTTGCACACGATGGTGCAACGATCAATCCAGTCGTCCGCTTACCGAACTTGCCCGAAGGTACTCCACACTTTTCAACGGACGAGCACGTCATCGAGACATGTTGGTCTAGGACAGGCCACAGGGGCAATGCCAACGTGAAAGATGGCATCATGGGTGTCGACCGAGTGCAGCGGTACAAGTGGAAGAGGCACAGCGCCTGCGAGGTTTAGGGTTTGGGGCTTAGGGTTCAGGTTAAGGGTTTTGGTTGAAATTTGTTCCTCCCTGTGAAGCTTTGTCAGGACCCGAAGCCCTAAACCCGAAATTCTAACCTCCTAAACCCTAGGCCCTAAACTCCTCAACCCTAAGCCCTGAACCCCAAACCCTAAGCCCACCAAGGCCTACCCCCAGCGTGGACAGCATCGGGCCAGAGCTGTGGCCAGAGGACACCGGCAAGGGAACAACATGTAGGGCTCACCCTAAACCCTAAAGCCTAAACCCTACACCCTAAACCCTAAACCCTAAACCCTAAACCCTAAACCCTAAACCCCAACGAGGGTTCCATCGCTAATGTGGAGAACCTCCCATCTGCACCGGGCTTGTGCGTGGGTGTGGGATTTTTGGGGTTTCTCGCCGTCGCCCGGCATGGGCCACGGGCCACGGGACACACAAGCCCTACAGGCGTGCAAACTTGGGGATAGCATGGCGGTCACCGACATATCCCTAAACTTTCGTTAGGGATACCTTATTTGGGGTTCCCAGAGTTCTAAGAAAAGCTACGTGGTCCCTGAGTATGACGCCGCACCTCCTCTAAAGGGTTCTGAAGTGTTGGGCCCTTGGGGTTCTATAGGGTATGGACATGGTATTTAAGGGTTCCCCAGTTAAGGGACCATGTAACTACCCCAAGAAGAAGGGTACTTGGGGGGTTATTAGACACCCTGTACTACAATCCCAAATGCAGCCTTGGAACCCTGAACCCCTCTTTGAGGATGGAACGTTGAGCATGTTCCTCGTGCTTTCTTGTTTCTAGCACCAAGAATCCAGCGCTGCTGATACGCACGATTACAATATCACACGTACTTCGTATGTGATGAGCATGAAGTGATCGAGCAGCTAGCAGCTAGCACTTACACAAGCCCCTTCACTATGACGTGTCTGCTCCGGTCGATCGTTTGTTAAGTGTTTCTTTGCGTGAGTTTTACTACCGTAACTTGGGACTCTAGGCCGAATGGCCTGACAACGTCCTCTTCCAGACAAAGGAGGGCCCTCAAAGCCAAGGTGATCCAACTACCAGAAAAAAGTGTGGAGGCAGCATAACTGTCTGAAGCCTTGGTGAGGGTTGCTATGGGTCATCAGCATGTGTTTAGGGTTTAGGATGGTTTAGGGTTTAGGGCCCCCCCCCCCCCCCCCCCCCCCCTCCCCCTTCAAGGTTGTAGAAGCCCAGGAGGACTTCATCGTGACCCGGAGCAAGCTGCATGCCGAACGAGAATCTGCATTGAGGCCCAACAGCGCGGTTTTGATGAACCCCTAAACCTTAAACCCTAAACCCTAAACCTTTAACCCTAAGCGAGTGTGCACATTCAGAGTCGGACACATGCCCAAGCTCGGGTCGAAGGCGATCGGATCAGAAGCACCCAAACAAAGATACCTTCCTACGAAGTACCCGCTCAAAAACCCAAATTATCTTCTCATAAGGGAATATAGGGATTATTATGTTTTGGTTTTGTTTTTAGGGGAGGGGGTTCTAAATACAAGTAGTAGCTTAGGGTTTCGACTCCGGGCTAGATAAGCGTCAGAGGCTCTTCAAGGTTTTCGGATGTTCCCCCTTATACTAACAGCCCTGAATAGGGATTATCATAGGGGGTACCATAATCCGCGTGACGGACTGTTCGTATAAGAGGGAACACTCCAAGTTCAGTGTGTTACGTTGAGACTCCCGCGTGTAGCAATTCAAAGCAATTCAAGGCTTCCCTGACTCGTCTAGATTCGTTGCGGGGCTGCGGGCTTAGGGTTTTTAGGGCTTTTTGGGTTTTTGGGGATGTTTAGGGTCTTGGGTTTTTTAGGGTCTTTTTAGGGTCTTTTAGGGCTCTTTAGCGATTTTTTTGGGTTTTAGGGTTTAGGGTTTAGGCACGGTCCATGTGTCGGCCACTTGTCTTCATCTCAGCCGCCTACCCAAAACTTTTTTTTGTGGGCTATACGGATTCTTGGGTAACCTACTAAGAATGTGCCCTTTTTGTAGGTTATTACTATAAATCCCCTTATAGGGTTCTTAGGTAACATACAAAACAGCGCAGGTTCTAGGTTCTTAAGGTGAGCCCGATGCCCAACAAACCCTTCACCTGCCCAGGCAGTCGGCCGAGGCGCCGCCCCCCGCATCCGAGCAGGCTCGGCGATCTCCTCCCGGACCTCTCAACAACTACCACAGCCACATCGTGCCCCCAAACCCTGAACCCTAAACCTTAAAACCCTAAACCCTAAAACCCTAAGACCCTAAGACCGTAAAACCCTAAGACCCTAAGACCCTAAGACCCTAAAACCCTAAAACCCTAAAACCCTAAAACCCTAAAACCCTAAACCTTAAAACTCTAAACCCTAAAACCCTAAGACCCTAAGACCCTAAGACCGTAAAACCCTAAAACCCTAAAACCCTAAAACCCTAAAACCCTAAAACCCTAAAACCCTAAAACCCTAAAACCCTAAAACCCTAAAACCCTAAAACCCTAAACAAACCCTCATAGTTCTTTTGGGTTGTAGGGTATGTATAGGCCAGGGGCACTCCACCGAGTATCTTAACAGGGCTTCGGCGCCTTTGAGCAAGTTGCTTGGAGGTTCATGGGTCTTACTACGAAATACAACTGTACTTAGAACCCAGTAAGTGCCCTTATATGGTTACAAGTACAGCTATAAGTACAGTTATACTTGGTTAATAAGTACCCTGAACCTCCAAGTGCATGTCCTCTGCTTCAGCGGGGTTGCCTGAAAGTCCTAGGATAAAGCCCATCAGCCTCCTACCCTGCAAGTCCAAAACCACCTACCCTTTTTCCCTCGGCTAAGCTCTAAGCCCTCTATCAAAACTACACTAACCAGCACCCCCGCCAACTACCCTTTACCCACATTAGTAGGGTATATAAGCCCCAAAATAGTAGGGGTTGCAGGTATCCTATACCCCAGACCCCAAACCCTAACCCCTAAACCCGAAACCCTAAACTCTAAACCCTAAACCCTAAACCCTAAACCCTACACCCTACACCCTAAACCCTAAACCCTAAACCCTCAACCCAATTCTCTCCAGGCCTTATCGCGATCGGGGTCCAAGCTGTCGAAGCACTCGCAGAAGACGGCGCCGATGCTCTCATCTCAGGACATGCTCATATACAGGCCTTAATAGTTAGAGTAGGGTTTAGGGTTTAGAGTTTAGGGTTTAGGGCTTAGGGTTTAGGGTTGAGGGTTTAGGGTTTGGGGCTTAGGCCTTCGGAACGACCTAGACCTCGCAAGTACCCTTTGATAGCCCCAAACCCTAAACCCTAAACCAATGTTAAGATACCCTAAGTACCCCCTTTCAGGTACATCAACCCAAAACCCTAAACCCGAAACGCTAAACCCTAAACTCTAAACCCTAAACCCAGAAGCCTAAACCCTAGACCTTTCTTAAGCGGTAGTTGGGAGGGGGAGGGTCGGGGGGGGGGTCCGTGCGTTTGGCATGTGTGGGGTTCAGGCGTTCCACGAACAGGCCCCTTTGGGGGAGTACCATGGTCTGGGGTTTTTGGGGTTTATGGTTTCTAGGGTTTTCTGGGTTTTCTGGGTTGCTGATAGATTTCAATCATCACTCACCAGGGACCGGAGGAGTACAGCGTGCGCTACTTCCAGCGGTTACTGAGGCCTACGAATACATTTCCGACATTTTTGTCGATCTGACAGCCCCAAACCGACCTTCCCAACCTCCAGCCCCACTAGGCCACAAGAGAATATCAAGCATCCACAGGTCCTGCCTAGTTGTGGGAGCAGTGTAGAGGACCTTTTTTCTACAGAGGTACCAGACCTCTTCTTTCGTAATTTCCTGCATTGCTAGGTCAGGTATCCGAGTCTTCGTCTTGTTGTTCCCCAGCAGAATCGGCAAAATCCCCCCCCCCCACCCCCCGAGCCCGAAACTCTCTCTGTAGACAAGCTCCGCAAGGTCTGTTGCTTCCAACAACTCGGACTTTGCTTTCGGGGACTGGGACGTGGATGAGCTCATGTCGCTCGAAGCAAGAAGCTGAACCCAGAGTAGCCCAACATTCCTTTTTCAGTCTTTTCGGTTCCCTTAGAAGCCTCTAGGGCTGCTAGACTTGTTCGTTTTTCTAAGGCAACATGGTCAGTCAATATGTAAAGGGGGGATGCCTTGTATACCCCTTGTCAAAACCCTGCAAAACCCCAAGGGCCCGATAACCCTAAACCCGAAACCCTAAACCCCAAACCCTAAACCCTAAACCCTAAACCCCCCTAAACTCTAAACCCTAAACCCTACTTCAGAACCCGTTACAGAAGGCGAGATTTAGGGCTTTCGCTCTGCGCGTGGACTCGGCTCTTTTGCAAGGGTCTCCGTCTCTCCAGGATCGGGCTTAGGGCTTAGGGTTTAGGGTTTTGGGTTTAGGGCCAAGAAACTCCCCCAAACCAATGCTCAGCGTGGCAACCCCGCCCCCACCATGATCCTCCCATTCCAAAATCCCAAGCCCCAAGCCCCTTTAAGCCCTGACCGAAACACTCGAACCTAACCTTAACTCTAAGACCGCCCTAAGTCCTAGACTTGAAGCCCCCCCCCCCCCTGGCCTTTAGACCCGCCTACACGCTTAAACCTTATACTTGTAACCCTTACCAGTAGCATGTGGTTTGGGGCTTCCGGTTTTTTGTGACTCTGCAACCCGATTCCCTGAGCGGCGCATCTGAGGTCAGATTTGGGACAGGGCAGGCCTGGCGGGTTCAGGGCTCAAGGCTTAAGGGGGTCAAGAGCTTCGGGTTCCGGGCGCTTACCTGTCAAGGCACGAAAGGAAGGACCCTCATGCGGGACCTCAGGGTTATGTAGGGGCCTATTATATAGGTGTATAGGGAATAAGGTTAAGGGTCCTTTCTAGGGGTCCTTCCTTATATCCCTTAAACCTGAGTACTGCATTTCCTACGTACATTTGTTTTCTTTGTCTGGGGGTGAGATCCTGCAAGTAGGGTGTAACAAGCAACGCCATCTAAGTTCCAGCCGGTGCCTGCAGCTCGTTTCAGCGGGTCGAGACCCTCGAAAGTACCGACGGAAGCTCCACAAGTCCTGAAAGCCATTCTACCCTAAACCCTACACCCTAAGCTCTACACCCTAAGCCTAAACCCTAAACCCTAAACCCTAAACCCTAAACCCTAAACCCTAAACCCTAAACCCTAAACCCTAAACCCTAAACCCTAAACCCTAAACCCTAAACCCTAAACCCTAACCCTAAACCCACAACCTTAAACACCAGAGGCCCTTCGGACCCCAACCGCTAAACCGGTAGAAGCCTAAGCACGCCTGACCGCCCCAGTGATTGCTCCCTAAGCCCTAAACCCTAAACCCTAAACCCTAAGCCCTAAACTCGTTATTGACCTCGCGGGAGATCCTCGGGTTTAGGGTTTGGGGTTTAGGGTTTAGGGTTTAGGTTTAGGGTTTAGGGTTTAGGGTTTAGGGTTTCGGGTGCCACTGACTTTCCCCCCGCGGTTCGGAGGAACTCTCCCAGTTCACCAGCTCGCTTCCCAAGCAAGCAGGGGGCCCCGCAAGGTTCATCATGGGTTGCTGTAGTACCCCCCTCTATAGTAACTACCTATGTTCCCCCCCCATAGTTAAGGCTATCTAGGGATAATGCAGATAATGAAGCCTAGCTAAGGTTAGTTAAGGGGGGAACCCAGGGGGGTGGCAGTAAAGAGGGGGCCAACAGGATAGCATGGAAGCCCTGGAACGTTCAAGATTCAGGACTTCGGTTTGTTGGGAAGAGGGAGAGAACCTACAGGGTTTAGAGTGTCGCGCTGTGGCTTAGGGATGGGGATAGAACCAGCACCCACCGTGAGCCCTGTGGGGTTTTGGGATTCTGGGGGCTTCTGTGGCGTCGGGGGGGGGGGGGGCAAACCCTGAACAGTAAGCCCTAAACCCCAAGCCCTAAACCCTAAACTCCAAACCCTAAACCCAAAGATCCAAACCTTAAACCCAAAAATAAACCCTAAACCCCAAACCCCAATCCCTAGACCCTAAACACTAGCCCGCCAGGCTTGAGGTTTAAGATCTTCAGGGCGGGCTTTGGGAGCGGAAAACCCGGGAATTGAACCCTGAACCCTCAACCCTTGAAACCTCTTAAGTCCTCAAACCCTCAATGCTGAACACCTAAACCGATTAAACCCTTGTAAGCCCTTAAACCCTGAAGCCCCCAAACCCTCGGTCCTGCACTTAACAACGAGACCTTCATCGGTGGACTGGATAGGGTTTTGGGGCCTAAGCCCCTAAACCGCTAAACCCCTAAACCCCTAAACCCCTAAACCCCTAAACCCCTAAACCCCCCTAAACCCCCTTAAACCCCTTAAACCCCCTAAACCCCCTAAACCCCCTAAAACCCTAAACCCTAAACCCCTAAACCCCTAAACCCCTAAACCCCTAAACCCCTAAACCCCTAAACCCCTAAACCCTCTAACCCCTAAACCCCTAAACCCTAAACCCTAAACCCTAAACCCTAAACCCTAAACCCTAAACCCTAAACCCTAAACCCTAAACCCTAAACCCAACCCCCCAAAACCCCTAAAGCCTCGACTCCGCATGAGGCCATCCCTGGCAGCCCAGGACTCCCCCATCCGTGGCACGAGCAAGCGGGAAGCCCAGGAATGAGGGTTTAGGGTTTAGGGTTTAGGGTTTAGGGTTTAGGGTTTAGGGTTTAGGGTTTAGGGTTTCGGGCTTGCATGCCTACTTTGTGAGGGTGGTTTCCTTTTTGCTAGTCTTACGCTTACTATTCCTCAACAGTGCCCTCACGTCACACAGTCACGGCTGAGCAGGTGGCGACTCACAGTCGTGAAAGCCACTTTTTGACCTCTTCTATCCTTAGTAGCTGAGTACACTTTACACCTTTTTGGAATACTATACCCTCTACAAAACTCACTTTTTGGGGGCCTTATAAACTCAGCAACTAAGTATCCCCCCGCCCCCAGCCAGCGCTGGACAACACCAGACTGTGCTGGAACGTCGCCACTGGAGAAAGTGACAGGCCCAACTGACTAACGCCAACAATGTCTTGCGAACATTGTTTTAGCGTTGTTGGTTTAAGTGTAGTTTTTTCCTCTGGGTATTCTTCTTGTTGTCATTATTGTGGATATCGCTATTGTTTCGGTTATTGTTTTGTTTATGGTTTTCTTTCTCATGGTTAAACTATTGTTCTTACCATGGGTTTGCCCTCAAGTGGGTGTGGGGATTCAGGGATTGGGGTCGGGAGGTTAGGGTTTCGGATGTGGAGTGTCGGGTTCAGCTTAGGGTTCAGAGTTTGAGTCTCGTGGGGAGGTTTTGGGTTTCAAGTACATAGCGTACAAGCCCCCGAAGAACTTTGAGAGGTTCTTCGGCTGCCCAGAACTTAAAACCCTGCACCCGGCAGGTCCGAGCTTTGCGGGCTTAGCGCATCAACCCAGCAAACCCTCAGGGGACTAAGACTCGTTCGTCCCTAGGTACCCCTAAGGGAACCCCTAAATGTACCCCTATATTCCCCTTAGAGGATCTTGAAAAAGGGTCCCCGAACCCAAGGTTACAACCTCAAGGGGTCCGAGGAAGAGTCCCATGAAACCCGAAGCACGGAAACCCAGGCTGTCTGCATCCTTTCAGCGCAATGTGGAAGTGCCGGCAGCCCCAGGAAGGGTTGCGGATTCGGTGTGGGGTTCAGGCTTCGGTTAAGGGTTTAGGGTTTAGGGTCCAGGGTTTCTTTAGGGTTTAGGGTAGAGGGTTTCTGGTTAGGGCTCAAGGCCTGCCCAAGAAGCGTCAAGTGAGAACCCAAGCTGGCATTCCCCCTCCCCAAACCCCAAAGCACATGCTTCTTGTTGCTTGTTGGTAAGCGTTTCGTCCACTGTGTCCACTTGCCACATATGGGCTCCTGACTAGCTTAGCTCTGGGGCGAACGGTAGAAATTGTGGCGTGGTTCCGATTAGAGAGGACTATCGCATCTTGGCCACTAGGACCTTGGGATTGCACACATGGACACACTATCGGTCCCCTTTCGCAATGCAATCCAAGAGAGGTTCTGGTTTGAGGGGGTAGCTGTAAGACAGAGGACATGTATGCGAAGACCTCGATACCCTAAACCCCTAACCCCCTACCCCCCTAAACCCCTAATCCCCTAAACCCCTAAACCCCTAAACCCCTATACCTTCGACGCAGGGTCGGGTACACCGTATATATCATGGGCTTCCCTACTACCCCCCCTCTAACTACTACCCCCCCCCCCCCCCCCCATGAATAGAGTGTAACCCTAAACCCTAAGCCCTAAAACCCTAAACCCTAAACCCTAAACCCTAAACCCTACACGGTTTCGGGGTTCAGGCTTCGGCTCGTGACTGCATCATGCGGTGTTCGGGGCCGCCCCCAACCTCGGAAACCTAAGGGCCCGGAATATCTCACCTCTACTTGGAGGTTCATGCTACTTACTAACCAATACTTACTGTACTTATAACTGTACTTGTAAGCCCCTTAAGTGCCCTGATACGGTTATAAGTTAGAAGTACAGTTATAAGTACAGCTATAATTGGTTAGTAAGTACCATGAACCTCCAAGTAAGGGTAGTTACCGGGTCCCTGAACATGGTCACTTACCTCCGTTAACGGGTCTCTGAGGTAGGGGCCCCTGGGTTGCATGGGGGTCCCCTTTTAAGGGCGCATACTAAGAGACATCTACCCTACTTGGAAGTTCATGGTACTTATTCACCAATGAGAACTGTACTTATAACTGTACTTACAACGTACAGTTAGAAGTACGGCAAAATCGGTTAATAAGTACCATGAACCTCCAAGCAAGAACTCCGAATTCAGGGAGCCTGGGAGAGGAGCCTTAGTGCTGCAGGCGTTTCCCTATTGTAGGTTTGACGCAGAGTAAACCCTAAACCCTAAACCCCTAAACCCATAAATACCCCCCTCCCCCCCGCCCCTTGGCGCACCATGGCGCTGGTTGCGGGGTATGCTTAGGGTTTAGGGTTTAAGGGCTTAGGGCTTAGGGTTTAGGGTTTA